GAGGAAATCCATGGATAGCAGTGAGCCAGGGAGAGGAAATCCATGGATAGCAGTGAGCCAGGGAGAGGAAATCCATGGATAACAGTGAGGAATTCCATGGATAACAGGGAGGAATTCCATGGAAAACAGTGATAAGAACCTCATTGACTCCTGCTCTGGGGAGGGGCTGGATTGGAAGATGACTTCCAGCAGGAAGGGGAGAGGAAGGCAGGTGGCAGAGACGAGGGACAAACCCCTGCGTGCCAGCGGTGGGGAGGTGACAATTCCTCAACCGACCCCTTCCCAACCCCTCTCCTCGTGTCCCTGCAGGAAAACACCCGGACCATGAGGGCGGCCCTGGCGTTCCTTCTCCCGCTGGCGCTCGCGCTGGTGCCAGCGGCCGGCGGGCAGCGGCGGAAACCTCCCCGCAGACCCACGCGGCCGCCCGCGCCCTTCGAGGAGCCGGCGGAACCCACGGAGCTGCCCCCTCCCCTCCCTCCGGGCCCTCCGTCCGTCTTCCCCGACTGCCCGCGGGAGTGCTACTGCCCGCCGGACTTCCCGTCGGCGCTGTACTGCGACAGCCGCAACCTGCGCACGGTGCCGGTGATCCCGCCGCGCATCCACTACCTGTACCTGCAGAACAACTTCATCGCCGACCTGCCCGAGGAGTCCTTCCGCAACGCCACCGGCCTCAAGTGGGTCAACCTGGACAACAACCGCATCCGCAAGGTGGACAGGAAGGTGCTGGAGAAGCTGGAGAACCTCATCTTCCTCTACATGGAGAGGAACCAGCTGAAGGAGGTGCCCGCTTTCCTGCCGCCCAACCTGGAGCAGCTGCGGCTCAGCAGAAATCAGATCTCCAAGATCCCCGCCGGCGTCTTCAACAAGCTGGAGAACCTGGTGCTGCTGGACCTGCACCACAACAAGCTGAGCGACGGCGTCTTCAACAAGAACACCTTCAAGGGGCTCAAGAACCTGATGCAGCTCAACCTGGCCCACAACATCCTGAGGAAGATGCCTCCCGGCGTACCCAGCGCCATCCACCAGCTCTTCCTGGACAGGAACAACATCGAGGACATCCCCAGCGATTATTTCAAGGAGTTTCCCAACCTGGCTTTCATCCGGCTCAACTACAACCAGATCTCGGATAAGGGGCTGCCCAAAAACTCCTTCAACCTCACCAACCTGCTGGTGCTGCACCTGGCCCACAACAAGCTCACCAACGTGCCCTTCATCAGCCCCAAGCTGGAGCACCTCTACCTGAACAACAACTCCATCGAGAGTGAGTCCCACTCGGGTTGGCTGGGGGATGTGGGGAGGTTTTTGGGGAAAAAAAACCTTGGAAGGGTCGTTTCTCACCCGGTGGGATGTGATCCCTTCCGAGGGGGAAGCGGTGGTGGGATGAGGGGGGAGCTGCAAGGGTGGAAGGGAAGGAGCAGAGTGAAACCCCCCCTTGGTGCTGCAGGACTTTTCCCAGCTGCCTTCTTTGGGGCCACCTGCCCTTGGAAGCGCTCTTTCCAGGGCAAAAATCGGGATATTCAACCGGGAGAGCCTGCGCTCACATTTTAGGAACAAAATATGGCAAAACAAACAGCTGGGGATGGTGAGGAAACATCCCGGAGTGAGGAAGGAACGGGGAGAACAAGGCTGCCATGGAGGCAGAGCAGCCAGGGCTGTCTCACACCATTCCAGGGAAATCCAGCTGCAATTCCAGGGGAGAGGAGCCTGGGATGTGTGGAAACAGAGCGGGCACAGAGGAGAAGACAGAATCCCACTGCATTCCCATTCAGCCTTCCAGCACCTAAAGGGGCTCCAGGAAAGCTGGAGACAGATTTGGGATGAGGCATGGAGAAACGGGACGCAGGGAATGGCTTCCCACCTCCAGAGGGCAGGGATGAGTGGGATACTGGGAAGGAATTCTTCTCTGGGAGAGCGGTGAGAGGCTGGGATGGAATTCCTGGAGAAGCTGTGGCTTCCCCACCCTTGGAAGTGTCCAAGGCCAGGCTGGACGGGGCTTGGAGCAGCCTGGGACAGTGGAATGTGTCCCTGGGTGATCTTTGTGGTCCCTTCCAACCCAAACCATTCCAGGATTCTTGGTCTCCCCAGATGTTTCCTCTGTTGGAGCTCCAGGACCCCGCTGTGATCACATCCGCTCTTTAATCTGAATTTGAATCAAACACCACCAAATCTGAGCCGGGAGGGACCTTGGGGTGCAGGTGGTGACCCCTGCTGTCTTCCCACACCCCCCGTATCCAAGCGCTGCTGGGGTTTTCCACGGAGAGAAACCCAGTGCACGCCCTGACCCAGCTTTTCCTCACCTGTTTTCCCTGGTTTTTAGAAGGTTCCCATCCCTGAAGCTGCGTGCTGACATCAGAATCCCGCGGTTTATTTTCCATAACGCATGCCCCGGCTGGGCAGGGACACGTGGAAGGGCTGGAGCGGGATTCCTTGATGGTTTTTTGGGAAGCTCGGGGCCGGCTCGGCAGGTTCCAGGAGCGGGATGATCCCTTTTCTCTCCGGAATGCCACCGCATCCCTTGCTGCGCTCCGCAGGAACATGACCAATTCGCTCCTGATCACAAGCCAGAATTTCTTTCTTTGAATAGCCTGGGATTATCCCTTTTGGTGGCAAAACAACCCCAATTTGGGGTTCAATAACAGGGGGGATTAAAAAATCCCTACCCATTTTCCCTTTTCCCTAAACCGCACCTTGCTCTTCCTCCTGTCCACCTTCCCCTTTCCCTAACTTGAATCCCGCTCTTCCTCATCTCCACATTCCCCTTTCCCTAACCTGAATCCTGCTCTTCCTCCTCTCCACATTCCTGTTCCTCCTGCCCTCAATTTGGTTTTCCCTAAGTCATATCCCGCTTTTCCTCCTGCCCACCTTCCCCTTTCCTTAACTTGAATCCCGCTGTTCCTCATCTCCACATTCCCCTTTCCCTAACCTGAATCCTACTCTTCCTCCTCTTTACATTCCCTTTTCCATGACCCACATCCCACTCTTTCTCCTCTCTACATTCCCTTTTCCATGACCCACATCCCA